CTGACTCTGTAAACCGCTTAGAGAGGGCTGAAAGCCCTACGAAGCGGTATATAAGTCTAACTGCTATTGCTATATGCCTGGTATGTGCTTTTGTTTTGACTGACCTGCTGCCTCACTGCAGCTGTAAAGTTCACTTTTCCCTCCCCCCTGCCTATGGCAACTTGAGAGAAGGCCAGGAATGCTTTGTGAGTTGACAACACATTTATGTCATAGAGAATTATAAGATAAGATATTTTGGAGATTAATTATAAGGGTCAAGCAAACAGGGATAGAGATCCTGGATAAAGATACAGGATAAGTGAGGGTTGAGAATTGTGAGAAAGATGACATCTCTTGCTGTTAATCTTTTACAACACATCTTCCATATTTCAAATTACTATTTATTTCATTGCTCTGAATAGTGAGTTTCCAGATTCCAGAATATAATGATTGAACCTCAATAGGATCTTTGGAAGAGGATTGACCAAATTCTGGGAAGAGTCCATGTCTGGTGAGCACTTTGAGCAGCCACAGTTTCAGGTTGTAGCTTCTTGCCTTTAATCAAAGGATGTCCAGGTGGTGCCTTTTTTGATCACCCTCAGGTGACTCCTGGCTTTATACTTTCTGACATTGCAGAGGTTCTGCTGGAGGCTCCTCTTAAACGAATTTTCAGCGTCATGGCCCATGGAGAGGAGAGGAAGGGAGGAGAGGGGAGAGGAGAGGAATCATGAGTTGAGGTTGAGCCAAACTTCCTCTTTATCTTATTGGAAGATTTTCGGCTTTCTGATAATAAAAAAAGAGGACTGCATTTTGATGTGCTCACATCATATCCAACATCTTCAAGGGCCACTCCACCTAATATTTCTTTCTCCATGGCAAAAGAAGTGTTCATCCACTTCAGCTACATAAGCTATGTTAAGCGATCCTTCCCATGTACTTAATTCCACTATAAGCTGGATCTCATTGGTGCCTTAAAGCATTGATAAAAGGTTGGGCTCCAATTTTCAAGAGGTTCAGCAGTGAAAAGGTAACATGGTGGAACTGCCTTTTTTCCTTGGATCCTTTCTTCTTCCCTTCTTCTCTTTCAACAAGTTCATTGATAAAATGGTAACTGTAAAGAAGAAAAGAAATATTAAGATGTCCTAGCTGGAGGTAAATGAAGAAATATATTGATTTCAACTGCACCCAATCATTCACACCAAAACCAAGTTAACCCAAACAATGCATTTTATTAAAGGACATGTTAAAGGGAGAACCTCCTATTGTTCTTTTTCAGATGCAGAGAAATGTACTAAATGCCCAGAAGATCAACATCCAAATACCAAGAGAGTTCACTGTATTCCCAAGATTAAAAGTTATCTTTCTTATCAGGAAAATCTGGGGATTATCCTGACTTCCATTGTCTTGTTCCTCTCTTTAACCACAGGCTTTGGCTTGGGGATCTTTATTAAATTCATGGAAACTCCCATTGTCAAAGCCAACAACCGGGACCTCTCCTACATCCTCCTGGTCTCCCTCCTGCTTTCCATCTTGACCTCCTTCCTGTTCATTGGCCGGCCAAGGAGGGTGACCTGCTTCATCCGACAAACAACCTTCAGCATTGTCTTCTCCATTGCCATTTCTTCCATCTTGGCCAAAACGATAACAGTTGTGTTAGCCTTCTTGGCCACCAAACCAGGCAATAAAGTGCAGAGATGGTTGGGGAAGACCTTGGCCAACTCCATCGTTCTTTCTTGTTCTGGTCTCCAAGTTGTCATCTGCATCATCTGGTTGGGCACTTTCCCCCCATTCCCTGACTCTGACATGAACTCCCAACCTAGAGAGATCATCCTACAATGCAATGAAGGTTCTGTCACCATGTTTTATGTTGCCCTTGGGTACATGGGCTTCCTGTCTGCTGTCTGCTTCACGGTGGCTTTCCTGGCCAGGAATCTCCCTGGGGCCTTCAACGAAGCCAAGCTGATCTCCTTCAGCATGCTGGTCTTCTGCAGTGTCTGGGTGTCCTTTGTGCCTGCCTACCTGAGCACCAAGGGGAAGTACACGGTGGCTGTTCAGGTCTTCTCCATCTTGGCCTCCAGTGCTGGCTTGCTGGGCTGCATCTTCATCCCCAAGTGCTACATTATTATTTTTAGGCCAGATCTTAATACCAAAGAACATCTCATGTCAAAATAAAATAGAAACAAAAATGGCATTTAATAGGTTTAGATCTTTTAACATTTATGTATTGAGCTTATATGATTCTCATCTTGTCTAAAGATGACTCAATGCAGCTTACAATCAATAAAAGCAAGTGAAACATTAAAACATTCAAATAATAAATAGTATCACTAAAATTGCTTCAAAATGGATAAAGGTGGGGAGTGGTGAGGAGGAAGATGCACAGGTGGAGCAGATATCCCTCCTATTCCTAAAGCTACTCCTCTTTCTATTCTTCTGTATTCCTAAGCAAACCAATAACAAAATACCAAGTCTTATTTTTAGTCATGATAATGTGGGCAAAATCAATTTTCAGATGAATGAATCTTTCCAGTAAGCAAATGTAGGCCACATACATTTGAGAAACCTCCCAATAAGGAATGGAGCCTTGCAGCTCCTAGTGACCTGTGGGAAGTTTTATCAGAACATTCCCACAGCAATTCCTGAATCTGAAGATGAAAATGTTTCTTATAACTAAGACTATTTTTCTTTGAAGATAACAGAAGGGCAAGAAATAATCTGAGATTTCTTATGTTACCCCAGCCCAGTTGAAAATTACAGACCAATCTCACTATATTATGTCACCTGCAAAGTCATGGAACCTACTCTCTAACAAGCAGTTTGATTTCAGAAAAAACTCGTCCTGTAATCTGCAATTCCTACACTGCAAAAACATATGGACTACGCAATTCAACCAGGATAAAGCAATAGATGCAATTTAGATAGACTTCTGCAAAGCCTTTGATTCAGTGGTACACAACAAACTACTGTTAAAACTAAAATCTTATGGTATTTCCAGATCTCTACATAAGGGGACAGCTGTGTTCCCATTAAATAGGCAACAAATAGTCAAAATAGGGAGAGCCCTATCAAACCCTACACCAATTAACAGCTGTGTCCCCCAAGGCAGTGTCTTAGGACCTGCCCTCTTTATACTTTACATCAATGACTTTTGCGATCATCTCAAAAGTAGCTGCATCTGCTTTTTATGTAAACCTATTCAACACCACCGACAATGCTGTTGCCCTTCAAAACGACCTTGACTATGTGTCTGAACGGTTAAACAATTGGCAACTCCAAATCTCAACCAACCAATGCTCTATCTTACACATTGGCAAAAAAAAGTCACAACACCAAATACAAGCTAGGCGGATACGACCTCATAGACGACCCCCACTCTGTCAAGGACTTGGAGTACTCGTATATAATGATCTAAGCACCATAGCTCACTGTAACAGCATTAAGAGTTGTTAACCTAATCTTGAGAAGCTTCTTCTCTGGTAATATTGTACAGCAAACTAGGGCATAAAAAACTTTTGCTAGACTAATCCTCGAATACAGCTTGTTTGCCTGGAATCAGCACTATATATCAGACATTAACACAATTGAGCAAGTCCAGAGGAATTTCACGAGAAGAGTACTCCACTCCTGTCAAGCCTGCAAGCTCTCTTTTTTTTGGGGGGGGACTTCAGGCCTGCAATACTTTCTCAATTGTGTTAATGTCCGGTATACAGTGTGGAGTCCAGGCAGATGAGCTGTATTCGAGAATTGGTCTGGCAAAGGTTTTGTATGCCCTAGTTAGCAATACAATGTTACCAGAGAAGAAGCTATGCGGGATTATGTTAACAATTTTTAATGCCTTTTTGACAATGCTGTTACAATGAGCTCTGGGCCTTGGTCGTTTGAGATGAGTTCTCCTTGGTCCTTGACAAAGTGAGGATCATCTATGAGGTTGTATCTGCCCTGTTTGTATTTGGTGTTCTGATTTTTGTTGCCAACATGTAAGACAGAGCATGTCTTTTCTTATCACCAACTGAAAACTGCACACATGTAACAGAAATGGGCCCAATTCAATCACGCTCACCAAAGGGATGGTACTTGTTGTGTGGAAACTGTGTCATCTCCTATTTTCTGCCAGATACTTCAGGAGGCTCCCTGTGCCACTGGGCACTTATTCTCTTTTCATGCAATGCCAGTTGATCACAACTACCCTCCTCACGAACCCAAGGAAGTGTGTGTGAACATAAACCTCATTGGGGGCTTTTCATGGGACAGTAGAATTATGATGAACTTATGGCATAATTAAACGCAGAGACGCTTATGGGTTTGCTATCTCCATAATTGGCTCAACAGTCATAGCAGCCCATTTCTACCTCAATAATAGAAAAGTGGCTTGTTTAGTAATAAAAAGTATGAACCAAACTTCAAATCCTCCTGCTCTCCTGAACGAAGGTTAGGAACAGCCAAGAACAGCAATTTTGAAGGACATCTTGGCCATTGACTTTCTGTTGTGATTGTGAGGAGTTTCCAGATCCTCAAACTATGGCCTGTTGGCTGGATACGGCCTACCAAATCAAAGCATCCGACCTGCGGAGTGATGGGATTCAGCCCCTCCCCTTGCCC